AGTTAGGGTTTTATTATGAGTGGGTAAGGTGATGATGGAAGCTCTATTTATGGGGATATTGTGAGTGGGTTGAGGAGCTTGCTCTATTTCGGCATGATTCAACAGGAATTGATGAAAAAGATGAAACTTGGTATAGGTAGAAATCCTTGCTGTGACATAGGAGAATATGTTGTCAATATAGGCTGTAATGGTTGTCAATATAACTCGTTGATTTGTTAATGATCATTATGTCTTGTAGGTGTACACTAACTGGTTTTTTCTCATTTTTTACATAAACCATGACCTTCTATGCCCTTAACTCATTGGTAGAGGTTAAAAAAGGAGGAAGAAGAGGCAATGAAAAAGGACCGGCAATCACATGAGGCAAAAGAAGAAAAAAGGCAAAAAGAAAAGCCATTTTGAACCTATACAAATGATGGAAAAAGAATTTTGTTTTGTAGATAGAAGTAATGACGGATTTTTTTTTTGGTAAATGTCATGGTATACACAAATTGTTAGTTTGATATTTGATACATGCACTTGTATGTTTTATTTTCAATGGGTTGTGAAATTAGTGTAATTACATCTATATGAAATTGTAAATGAAAGTTGGCTATATATTACATCCTGATGCATAATTAGTTGTCATTATTCGCACATTTCATTATCAATACATCCTTCATCACTTCTCACTCGTTGCACTATCAGTTGTCAATTTATATGCTAATATAAGTTTAAAAAAAATGTGATTTTAAGTTACATAATACTATACAACATCATATAATATCACAAATTCCTCTAAACTAATACATCTTTTTGTTATAATGTGATATAAAATCGTTATTAAAAGTTAATCATCACTTATATAAATTATGAAATCCCTTGTCATTAACAACACATTTATTTGTTAATAGTGACATAATAACTTATCAATGACATAATTATGGCCTATCAATTTATATGTTCATATGAATCTACATAAGTTTTGAAAAAAATGTCATTTAAGTAATATAAATTATAGTAATACTTACTCATTATAATGTGATATAAGATAATATAATATTTCTACTTTAAGTGAAATATAATAGAATTGTAAATTTGAATTAACATTCCTTGCGTCAGTTGTTAATATCTACACTCTGACTTGTAAATAGTAAGCATTATAACTCGGTAATTTTCCTGTTTATATATGTGATTTTAAGAATTGGTCTACTTTTTATTTTAAGAAAATAAACAATATAACTACGACAAGACATGAACACCACAATAATCACTGTAAAAGGAAATTCATCAATATTTAAGGATCGGATTATCCTTATTGTGAACAATAGCAAACAAAATAACCTAGGCTAGCCCAATAAAATAAAAAAAAGAAACTCACTTATTACTCTGGAGATTATGTAACTTAAACTCACATTTTTTTCAAATTTATATCAACAAGTAGATTGACAAGTAATAATGTAATCATTAACAAGTCCCACTAAAACCATTGACAGGTGAATGTGTCACTAATGATAAGTGATTTTATAATTTCATATAAATAATAATTGACTTTTAATAACAATTCTATGTCATAATATAACCAAAACATATTACTTCTCCGGTCCTAAATTTAGGACGGGAGGAGTAATTTAGAAGAATTAATGATACTATATAATACTCCCTCCGTTCCTTATTATAAGAGACATTTGATGCTTATGCCATGTTCCTATATATAAGAGACACTTAAAAGTTGTCTCTACTTTTTGTGTTGATTTCCTATTTTACCCATATTTATTGTCTCCAACTCACACTCTCTCTCCCTCTCACTTCTCTTTCTTTCAATAATTTAATTATTCTCTCTCATGCTCTCTCTCCTTATTAATGAGGGCATTTTTGGAAAAAAATTATATTGATTGTTCTTAACTAATTTTAACTGCTTTTTTGATCAACGTAATTCGGTTATTCGTCTCTTATAATAAGGAACGGAGGGAGTATTATGTAACTTGAAATTACATTTTTTTTAAAAATTTATATCAGCACATAAATTGACAACTACTAATGCCAAGAGCAACAAGTGACAAGGTATGTCTTGACAATGAAGGGTACAAATAATGATAACTCATTGTGCATCAGAATATAATATATAGCTAACTTTTATTTATAACTTTATATACACGTAATAACCCATTGAAAATAAAGCATACAATTATATATATCTAATATCAAACTAACTATTTGTGTATATTATGATATTTACCAAAAAGAAAAAAATTCATGTCATCACTTCTATTTAAAAAAAAGAAACATTTTGCTATCATTTGTTTATGTTCAAATGGTGCTTCTTTTTGTCCTTTTTCTCCTTTTGTCTCGTTTGATTGCTCAACCTTCTTCATTGTCTCTTCTTTCTCTTTTTGTAACCTTTGCTAATGAGTTAAGGGTATAGAAAGTCATGACTTATGTGTTATAAACATGACAAAACCAATTAATGTACACCTACATGACATAGTGATCATTGACAAGTCAAGGAGCTATATTGACAACTATTGTGGTTAATATTGACAGCATATTCTTATATTTCACAATAAAGATTTCTACTTACATCAAACTTCATCTTTTTTTATTAGTTCCTATTGAACCATGCTGAAACAAAGCAAACTCATCCTCAACCCCCAATATACCAAGAAAAAGTACTCATCATCACCCTACCCACTCATAATAAAACCCTAAATTAGATGACCAACACACACTAAACCAAAAACAGAAGCGGTCTTTACCAATGATTGATGTTAGTGGAGTAGGCAAAATTTTTAGATGGGAGTAAGAAAGAAACATGATGAATTTGGAGTATTTTTTTCCTCTTGCCTTCTGCAAATAGGGTGTTGATTTTTAAGTTGAAACAGAGCAATTGTGGAGCAAGTTGGGTGCATCTTACCTGGACAGAGAGGTCTTTTCACACTTCATTAAATTATACTCAGGTTCATTTGGGACTTCAAATTCAATATTAAGTTTCTTGGGACTCTTTTGCTGTATTTTGTATTCTATAAATCTCCAGTATCATTTTCCCTTTTATTTATATTGCATCCAGTATCCCAATATTGAATGCACCTTTATCCTTCTTTGGTTAAGAGAGGTAGGTACTAAGCTTAAGGTAACTTATGGGATCAAACCCACCACTTCTCCTTTATAAGAAAGTTTTTATATCATTAGGCTATAATGCAAAGCAATTTGCGCATTTATTCTCCTTTGCAAAGATAAAAAAAAAAAAAGATAATGATTTATTATAGTTTGATTATCATTACCAGTAGTCCTTTTGTCTAAGAATACTAAAAAGATATTGTATCGGTGGAATCATCTCTTTCATTCTATTTTTTTAATTTTAATTTTTCTAAAAAAACTTTTTTTTGACTGATTGATTAAAAAGAACCGAAGACCATGCATTATTAAAGAGTTAAATTAAATGTCTAATAAAATATGAAAAATATTAAATTTATAAAATAGATTGTTAATTGTTTATTTTAGTTCATACAATTTTACTGTCTCAATTCTATATTTGTCGTGTGAAGTTATGTATATAGGTTAAGAATAATTAATTCGCGTAAACCACGAATAATTAAAGCATTTTCATTTAATTGGTTTTTTCGTTTGAGAGGGGAGAAAAAAAGAAATAACATTAATAAAAGAGATAGATGGTATATAAGTTAAAACTTAAAAGAAGTGATAATACCTCAAGTGCAACTTTTTTTCAATTCTATGCAATATACAAAATAAAATATATTTACATGCAGCCGAAAAAAGTTACAATTGCTAAAAATGTCTACCTATTTAAAGATTTTTTTTTACTTAATCTATTTAAAGATTTCGATTGATAGCTACTTTAGTTTTATATAATTAATTTTTTAATAAGGGAATTTTGACCAAGTTTTTTTTTTTTTTTGAAATAATGATATATTAATATATAAAAAATTAAAAGACAATGGAAACTGGAAAGCAAGGTATATGGGCCAGCCGGAAAATGTGACAAATAGCCGTTAGGCAAGTAGTCGCTGCCATATGTCAAGGAAAGACAAACACGCGGCGTTGGGTCATTTTCTCATTTCTTTTTTTATGACGAGAGAATTTTTTTTTTTCCTGGAGAAAGAGAACTAAAAGTTTTACTAAAAATAAAAATTTAAATCTTAATTTAATGGATTATGAAAAGGAAAGAGAATTAAAAAAAAAGAAAAGAAATAAAAAAATTTAATGGTATTTTTCATAATTAGAATATGAATTTTTTTTGCATATTTTAATTAAATTAAATTATTTTAATTATTATCAGTTTAATTTCTATATATCCATAATCTGGCCCACTAACTCTTAAACTAGCATGTTAATCAGTTTATTGACAGGTCCCATTTGTTATTTCTTAGTTATGAAGGACTAACTCCTTCTATTAGACTTTAATCCTTAATGATAATATTAATAATTGTTAGTAAACCAATTCTATATTATTTTCAATCACAAAATACAAGTCATTTAAACAATTCATTCGTTCCAATAAATCAGTTGAAGGTACTGACTTTTCATCAAAATTAAAGTGATTTTCAATTCTAATCATATCAATTATGCTAAGACCCAATGTTATAATAATCTTTATTTATCTCATTATCCTTATTAAATATGTGCATATATATATATATAAAATATCTAATTATTTAATACTCTTTAAAATTATCAAATGACACACAAAAAAAAAAAGAAAAAGATAAAAGAACACTTATACGATAGGAAGCAGCCTATAATAAGAAGCAAAGGGAGCGTGTTAAAAAAATGGGAGTGGAGGCCAATAAATAACTTCAATCATAAATGGAATAGAAGAAGATAGACTTGTGGCCAAGGATTTATTATTATTGTGCATGAACAATAATTGACATAAAAATGACGTGAAAAGAAAACTTAATAACATAATGCTACCCAAAGGAGAAATATACATTCACCAAAACTAATAAATCAACAATAAGTCAATCACGGATCTCTAACAAAATAAGGCCTCTTTTTTCCCCCTTTAAGTCCCCATCTGAAATTTGAAAATATCAAATGGATAATCCTTTTTTTTTTTTTTTTGTGGTGTCCCATCTGAAATTTGACCATACCATATGAATCATAATGGAATTGAATGATTCCTTCCATAAATATTCCACCAATAATTATTCAATTGTTGAGTAATGAAACTCCTACTTGCCCCAAAAAAAAGTAAAATATTCCCACTTGCCTATTTCAGCGTCACACTTGGATATTTGCACGATCCATGACCTTCCACAATAAATTTCAAATGGGAAAAAAATGTTAGTGCAATCATTTTTATTAAAAAATAAATAAATAACCGACTAAATTATTATTTTCTATACAAGATTGAATATTGACTAAATGAGGAAAATAATTGTTTTGAAAAAAATGATTAATGATTAATGATTGATGATTAATTCAAATTGACACTCACCTGGATCCTTCGTCGTTTGCGTGGCAAGGCCGTTGAAGAAGCAGGTCCCACCTGATGCCCTGAACTGGGCCCAGTATGAGCTAAAGGCATAACTGGCATGAGAAACCAACGAATCGGGTTTGAAACACGGCTTTCCGGGTTGGATCGCATCGCAGGTTTTGTTGCCCTGCGAGCAAGCGTACGATAACGCAGCCGGCAGGGCCGTCTTATTGGCTCCCTCAGCTACCACACACCATATCTTCCCTTTGTATGGCTCATTGTTCTCCGCCGGCGGCAACGGCTTGTACTCCGACTCCGGCGTCTTCCCGGACAGATCAATCTCGTACACGTGTGACCCGTTCGGGTACAACAGCCCGAAGTGGCGCTCCGTGCCTGGACCCGGTTTCTGGTTCTCATTATACAAAGCGAAGATGAATGACGGGAGAATGGAACCTGGTCGAGCCGGCGTGCCTACCGGCGGTTTAGTCGTAACCTTCTTTACAAAATTTCGATTGTAAATTGCAGCGTTGTGAATATTCGCGCCAATCTGGTCAACGTCCCCTCCATTGGGCCAACCCGTTTCGGCGATGAAGATCCGAATATTCGGATACCCGAGTCGTTTCATCGCGAAATACACAGCGTCAACCATCTGGTCGAACATATTGTGGTACACCAAACCCGTGCCGGGATCCGTAACCGTTATGTTCTTCGACTCAAAAAGCGTGTAATCCAAATTTATGTTTTTAGGATCTGAAATCCACGCGAAATACGGATACACATCGAGGAAAAAGAACGACTTGGTCCGATCCAAGAACTGCAACATTGGTCTGATGATCCGATCGGCAATATCACTCCGAAAAGTTCCGTTCGACGGCGGGAACGACGATTCCAACACGTCCATGGCTGACGGAGTTCCGACCTTGACCTTGTGAATCCCGAAGCATTTGAGAGAATGCTTGATTCGTCGGATTGCCGGTACGAGCGCCGCCCAGACTTCCGGCGGGCCACTACTGATGACCTCGTTGCCGACGAGGAGGTAGCGAATGAGGGTTTTAGGGTAGAAAGGAAGCACATTGGTTTTGATCCATTCGTCGGCGAGGGTTTGGTTGGAGGAGATGTTAACGATGAGTTGATTGGGGACCATGACTGAGACTTGATGGTTTGTGTTTCTTAGGGCTTTTAGGATTTCTGGATTTGCGTCGTAGATTTTGACGCGTTTGGCTTTAAGAGATTTGATGAGCTCCACCGACTTCAATGGCGATGGCAAATTGTTCCCCACTTGGCCATAGTTGACCCCTGGAATGCTCGAGAATTCTGCACCTGCAAAACCAAAAGGGGTCATGCATAAACCCAAAACGAACAAACGCAGATCGCCAAATTAACGATTTTGAGAAGAAATCTGAAAGCAGGACTTACTTGATACAGAGACGAAGAAGAACAGCACGAACAGAGAAAGAAACCCCATAGCCATTGTAACCAGGTCTGTTTCCTTGTTCAGCTCACTATTTCTATTTATAGCACTAGAATACTATAAACTAAAAGCTACAAGTTGTGCCATGAGCGAAAAAAGAGGAATTTTTTTAATGGGAGAGAAGAATGAGAAACTGAACAAAGCAGAGATTGGATCCAAGAGGAAGAAGCAGCTAAAGAATAAAGAAGGAAGAAAAATGACAAGGAGGTTGAGGTTAGACTGTTCCGCTGACTATTCTACGAAGGATTGATGGTGTGTGAGGATTGAGGAAGGAGAGCAGCTTGGGAATATAAACTTTTTTTCTTTTTTCCGTCTTTTGTCTTTGGGGGAGAAAGATTAGTAAAAATACAATAATTAAAGAACTAAAAAACGTGTGAGAGAGAAGGAGAAAGATGAGTAAAGGGGGAATCTAATTTTCTCCGGAGGAAAAAGTGGGGTCCGTTTGCCGCTGATTGGAGCTTTGTCAGTTTGCATTTGTTGGTAATAATGGGATTTTGGTTGAAATTTAGTGATGATTTGTGAGGTAATGAGAATACTGATGAGTTTCGAGGAAAGGGGGGAAAAGGCAAAAAGAGGGAGAGATGGTGACTGAGGAAAAAGTGGGCAACTTACGTACTTTGCCATAAAGCTGAAGATAGCCGTTTGAGTATGAATGAAGTGACAAGGCTGGGTCGTCTCTATGTCGACAGGGATTTCAACACTCTGATACTCTCCACCCTAGACGAGAGGGTAAATATTTATTAGTATATCTGTGTTCTATTTTGACATCTTAGAAACGATAACACCTGACCCACATTTCAATGTTATCAAATAATACTTATATAAATTAAAGAAAAATAAGATTGGTTGCTTTGCAAAGCTCATCAAATTAGAGGGGGATGGTTGGGTGTTGTAGGGAGTTAACATTGGCTAGTTATTCGACTTCAAACAGGTTTGAAATTATGCTGTTCAAAAGGAATTAGGAAAAGTCTTTTGTTACTCTGATGATTGCATAGAAGCTGTAAACTTGCCTCTAGAGGTTATCCATTTAAAGATGCAGGGGATGAAATTAGACTTTTAATGCACAAACATTGATAGTGTGGTTTCTCATGTTCGTTGGGAGGTTCATACCCCATTTGCTATTGTTTGATTCATATAAACGGAGATAAAATTCTTTTCACATATTTACCTTATATTTTGTAAATCATGATTAAAAAGATTGTATATAAATCATTCAAAATGGGTCCTTAACCAATACTAATGAGTTGGTTAAAAGTACTCTTATTATTTTCTTAGCAACTTTTTGTATCACAGATCATCCGCTCCCACTTTTATAGCAGGGAGAGGTTGATCAAGGAAACTAAAATTGCATTTTGATATAGTCATCTTTTTAGATACATATTGATTTTAGGTTTTATTAAAAAGGGGAAAAAAGGAATTATGTATGATATGAATTATGTGTTTTTATGCATGGTGTAACTAGATTGTTAGTCCACTCAAATTATAGTTAGTTAATACTAATATTTAAAATTTCATAAATTTTGTATTGTATGTATAATTTATAAATTGTGTAATATTCTTAAGTTATGAATTTCACATCATATACACTATATTATTTTAATTTTAAGTTAAACATATTATTAATAAGTCAGTTGATTTTTATTTTATGTAATAATACTAAACTCATATAATTAAAAGAAAGTTGGTTCTAAATATAAGATTCACTTTATAATTCCTCTTATTTTTAAAACAAGAGATGATATTATTTAAAAGTAGCATGTTAGGTGTAGAAAAACCTAACCTTTATAGGTAGGGGTACTCACGACACGGGCACAAAATGGCATTTTCATCCTGTATCCTGTCCCGTCCCAAAAGTGTCCCGGCCCTTAATAAGACTAAGATCGTACTAGGACAAACCTTTTTAAAAAGAACAAAGAAAAAGAGCTCAAGCCAATGCAAAAAAATACCCAAATCGACTCATGTCGATAGCATGCTGAACCCCAAATCAATTAGGAACTTGAGGGGTGAAGACATACAGATCCATTAGCCATTTACACCAATAACCAAGGAAGAATTACAGGGAAAATATTACATGCAAAAGAAGAACAAACCTTCAGATTGTATGCAACAACAACAACAAAAAATGATGTCTAGAGTGTATAGAGCCCAAGGGGAAAGGACAAATGTAAAAAATTAATAGCTGCTCCAAAGAAGATAGAGAAAGAAGCAATTATCTCAATCCAATCTTGTGAGGGAATTCCGATGCAAGCATAAAAATGAGACGAGTGAGGCTTCCGCAATATATTTCTAGCTATGGGACAAGGATAGAGCTGTCAATAAGGGACAGCTCGGCCCTAAAGGGCTAGCCCTTGAAGGGTCAGGATCTAAAAGGGCCAGCCCTTTAAAGTCCACATATCTTAAAATTATCTAATTATCAAAGCCCGGCCCTTAGACATGCGGGCTCAGGGCTTAAAAGGGCCGGCCCTTTTATATTATTTTTTAAAATTTAAATTCTTTTTAATTATTTTAAAATGAAAAATAAAACAATAAAACTTCTAAGATTTTTTATTCAAATTATAAATATAAGTAAAATAAATTAGTGGTGTATAAAAAAAAATTAAATGCCAATAAACTATTGTTCAAAATAAAAAAAATTCAAAATCTAACAAAACATGAAAAACAAAAAGATAAAAACCTAGTAGTTAAAGATTAATAATATCAACATCATTATTATCTTCATCTTCATCTTCATCAGTATCATCAAGATCAGCAATATTTGATTGTTCTTTACTACAAGTGAGCTCTTCTTCAGTGATAAAAAATATTAAGGTTTTTGTCTTCATTTATCTTATCTAAAATAAAACTATGCAGTAGTTATAAGTACAAATAAAAGCCTGAACATTTGTTCGAATAAGAAAAGTTTTACACTTTGTTAAGATATGTAAATTGATGGTAAATGAAGATCTACTAGCTATTATGGTGATTAAAATGTTAAGAATATCAACTACCATTCTATTCTTGAAAGAATTGAAAATTGATTTTAATTGTTCTTCCACAAGTCCAAGACATCTAATTCTTTTCAATTATCTAGCTTGAATATTAATTCTTCTAAGTATTTTTCTAATTTAAACTTATTCATAAAAGACTAATCTATAACTTTGTAAATATATTGATAATAATAATAATAAAAAAGATCGGCTTAAAAGGGCTAGCCCTTGGCCCTAAAGGGTTGGCCCTTTTATTTTTGAGCCCTATAGGGCTAGCCCTTTTAAGCCCAATTTTCTTTTAAACCACCTAAAATAAAAGTCCGACCCTTCACTTAAAAGGGCTTAAAAAGGCTGGCGCGACGGGCTTGACCCGTTTTGACGGCTCTAGACAAGGGAGAATGAGCCGAAAGCCAAGAGCAAGGCTATGAGTTGGTGATGAGCGAGGGAGCTAGGATAGAGGCGTGAGCTGTGACGAGATGATTGAGGCTGAGCAAATAAGAACGCAACGCAGAGTAGAAGATTTAGGTTTAATATCTATAAATTAAATAATAAAACACATGAAGTAATTAAAAAAAAAACTTAAATATCCTGAGACGGGACAACCCAATCCTGTATTCCGTCCCGGTCTCAATCCCTTTCTTGTCCCTATCTTAAGATTGTCTCGTCATGGTCCTATTTGGGATGAGTTTGCCCCATCTCAAAATAGCCGTGATCAAAATAATCTGACTAGGATGAGTATAAGCTAAGCACTATTCATATATACCACAATGCTTTTACTTATTTATAACTTTTATTATTAAATTTAAGGTGTTTGACTTTAGATAATATTTCCTTCTGTCCAATATGAGAACCTTCTAACCAATTTGTAAAATGCAATAATCAAATTGATAAGTTTATCATTCCTAATAAGCATTTAGAAATTTGTAATTTTTTTAAAAAAACACTCCTATCATTCAATGATTGAATTTAATAAATTTATTATTTATGATAAATACTACTTTCGGTCCTAAATATACCATGTAGCTTGTAGTAATAGTATTCTCTTTATGCTCTATGAATGGAACAGTGAGAGTATACTAATTAACGTGCTCATTTAGCCCATATTGACGGGGACCAGGGGATCTACAGCTTGTTCTCAATGGGCTGAAACTATAAAACGTCTTATAAAATGAATAAAAATATTTTTGAAAAAATTCTTATCATACGGACAAACAAGGGTGTTAGTGAAGAAAAATAAAAGAAAAAGGGTTGGCAGAAAAAGAAATAGACGAAAAGGAAGAAACAAAGAAAGCAGTAAAGTCTAAAGACAGTCTCACCTTCCAAGAAGTGGGTGTGGTGATATGGGAGCTGCACGCGGAGGTCACTGGAAAACTTGAAGTGGCCACGTTGTGTTCTCCAGTTCACAAACAAGAGCACATTAATAACCTTATTTTTATAATTTTAATAATTTATATTTATATTCCCCAAATGTTCTCTATATTTTAAAATGTTTATCATTCGAGAATTGAAAATTTTATTTTTTAAAAAAGTAGGGAGAATCTCATAGAAAGAAATTTGGAGTTATTAAATCTCAAATCAGATTTGGTATTAATATTTTGATAGGCTTTGATAACAATGAATTTGCACATAACAATATATTTTTGTAAAAAAAAATATTTGGGATTTAATAATTTCAAACTTTTTTTGTGAGATTTTTCCAAAAAATTAGAATTTCAATAGATAAATATTTTTTTACATTTTTTATTGATAAAAATAATCATAGCTGAAACTTTTAGATAGAACAACACAAATATTATCAATTATGAAGACTACAAATTTTTACTAAGAGTACACATTTTAATTTATATTACTATGATAGTTGCCAACTTCATCCTCAATCCAGCACTTCCTTCACTACAAATTATGAATAGTATATGTTCTTTTATTTTAAAAAAATTCTTTACATTTGGGTAGCATAGGATTTTTCTTTGGAAGCGTCCGATAGCATAGGCTTTTTCAGTTTCTTATTTTGAAAACAATTTCTTGTTTTTCGATTTGATCCCTTCTCCTTTTAACTTTTAGTTGGGCAGTACCTTCAAAAAAGTTACTTTTAAAAACAAAAAAAAAAACAATTTGTTTGGTAATTTATTTTTCATTGGTTATTTTAAAAACAAAAAAGTAATAATATTTTTTAAAAACTAAAGGATCAAAACAATTTTTGAATTTTTTTTGTTTTTGTTAAATGACAAAAAGAAGTTATAAATTGCTATATTTCAATTTAGACACCTAAAAAGTCAAAATTTCATAGAAGGAAGTGATGCCTAATTAAGTATTTTGTAAAGGTAGTTAAATGATAAATATGCTTTTATATCACAAAATTTATTAAAAGTTGCTAACCATTAATGACAAGTGTTAAACAATAAATGATAAGAAATACACTGATGATGACAAGTTATTTATTAATAAGTTATAAACTGATAATGACAACTTTTGAACAATCAATAATGAGAAATATACTGACAATGATAAGTTTAATAGTTTTATTTTTAAATCTAATATAAGGGTATTTTAGTCATTTGACTACATTTACAAAATATCAGATCAGACACCATTTCCTTTCGTGAGATTTTGACATCTTAGATACCTAAATTAGAATATTGCACTTTTTAACTTCTTTTTATGTCATTTTTCCTTTTTTTATTTTGTGCTTTGAAAAATAGGAGAAATATTTTTCTCTTCTAATTCAGATTTGGCCACACATCATAGCCAATGACAACCACTGCTTGCCACATGTGATTTTTTAATGTTTTTTTTTGTTTCAAATGTAATTATTTAA